CGCCAGCCCCGCCCAGTCCCTCGACCAACCCCCCCCACACACCGCCTCTGCCCCCCCCTCGCCGCGCCGCCCGCCGCGCAGGGCCTGGGCGCGACCATCCTGCGCAACACGCCGGCCAACGCCGTCTACCTGGGCACTTTCGAGGTCCTGAAGCGCGCCGCCTCAGAGCGCCTGGGCACGCCGCAGTCCGAGCTGCCGGCCTGGGTCGTGCTGTCCTCGGCCGGGCTGGGCGGCATCTGCTACTGGGCGGTGATATTCCCGGTGGACTGCGTGAAGTCCGCGATGCAGACCGACAGCATTGTGAAGTCGCAGCGGACTTACCCGGATATGGCCACCACCGCGAGGGTGAGTGGATGCGGAGGACGAGCCTCAATCAGCACGTGAAGGGATCAAATCGGATCCGCAGCGAGGCCGCTACGGGCGATTTTACGGGCCATTTCTGAAGTTGGCAGGTCGGGAGCGTCCGGCCTGCACTGCTAGCGTCAGCGCAGGGGGCCGGCAGCCCAGGTGCGCCCAGCAGCCCCTGAATCCCCCCTCCCCCTCCTCCTCGCCGCCTTACTGCCTCCTCCATGCCCCCCCCCCTTTTTTTGCCTCCGCAGCTGCTGTGGCAGGAGGGTGGCGTGAAGCGGTTCTACAAGGGCTTCACCCCCTGCATCATCCGCGCCGCCCCCGCAAACGCCGCCATGCTGTTCACGGTGGACCGCGTCACAGCCGCCCTCAACAAGGCGTGACCCGGGCCGCGGCGACGCGAAGGAGCACGGCAGCGCGCGGCCCGCCGGCGGCGGCGCATGCGGCTGCAGGCGCCGCGATGGGCGGCAGCTGCGGCACGCTCAGCGTGCGCTTGGGGCCCGGAGGGGGGGCGGCCGGTGGCGTTCCAGGCGGTCCGGGTTGGGGCCGTGTTTGCCGTGTCGGCAGGGCGCGAGCGGCCAGGCAATCAGTTGAGGCACGCGCGCCTGACCAACGCTGCCAGTTTTGCGCGTTGTTAGGGCGCCGCCGCAACACCAAGGCTCGGCGGGTCCAGCGGGATGGTCCACTGATTTGCAGCGGCGGCCGCGAAGGAATGGCGCGACAGCAGGACGTGGCCGCGGCCCGCAGACGGCCCCCGTGCGCGGCCGTGCTCACGCCCACAGATTTCATTGGGCACCCATCCGCCGCGGCACCTGCCGGGTCCCGTCAGTTGAGTCGAGTCGCGCCCTGGCTCGGCGATTTTGGGAGCGTCCAGCGAGGCCCCTCGGTGTGCCCCTCTCGCACTTGCGGGTCGTGGGCACAGCTTGCGCCCCCGCTTGAGATCAATGCCGCGCATGCGGCCGCACCCTGCGAGAGCGGCGCAGGCGACCATCCGCGAGGCTGGGTGCGACACCACTGCAGCGCTTGCAGCGCCGGTCAGCGCTTGGCGCAGGGCGGCGGCCTCGCTCCGCGCCGCGCTGCGCCGCACGGGCTCCTGCGTTGCGGTCGGACGGCCCTGTCAGCGCCGAATGGTTGCTGATGCCAGAGCCCCCTTTTGGTCTTCGCGTGGATTTGAAGAGTTTTCAATCAGGCTCGGATCGCGGCACCTCAATCACAGAGGCCGCCGTCACCACACCATCACTCAACCACACACTGCAGAGAACCGCTCTCCGTTTTGACTCGCAGCGCGCCTTTTGATGGACCGCGCTGCGGCGCCTGATGCCCGCGCGCCGCTCTCTGTATGGCGTTATTGACCAGGCTTTTAATGTGCTTTTTTGAGGGGGGCGCGCCATGCTCGTGACCCCATGGCTCTGCTGGCCATTCTTTGCGTCACCGCGCGCCCGCCGTGGCCGGCGGCGACGGGCTTGCGGGCGCAGCGGACGGGTTACCCACCTGAGTGTGGGAGAGGACGGCTGTGGCCTGCATGGGAGTAGGCTGCCGCTTACTGTTTTGCCGAGCTGCGCCGTGTTATGAGTAGGGCTTCGAAACCAAAAGGGTGGACCTCTGGCACCAAGGGGGCAAGCCAGACGGGTGCACGCCAAACAGTTGGGGCGACCAAGAGGGCCGGGGACCAATGAGCAAAATGTTTGGGTTGCAAGACGGCGAAGAGGTTCCACAGCCAAAGGCCAGCTCGTCGCGCCTGTGGATTGCGTGTTGATGCGCAGTCAGCTGGGTCGAACGCGAGGGATGCCAGGTCAACCCTGGGCATTGTGAACGGACCTGTGGGGCACCGGAGGTTGTGCAAGGCGAGCTGGCGCTGGATCATTGCTGTTCATCCTCAATTTTTCACGCGTAAAGAGGAGCTTGCGGTGCAGGCTCGCGTCAGCTGGGCAGGCATGGCTGCGAGTGGGCACCACCACAGCGCGCAGGGTGCACTGCAGTGCTGTCATGCCGCACAGCATGAGGGGTTGTGTCGGGGAACTGATTCTGAAGTTCTATACTATTAATAAGCTGTTCACCAACGGGCATAAGATATGTGCCACGTGGGCCGTGCGGCCTCCGTGGCAGCGTGATCTGTATTGCACGCACCAGGCTTGCAAGATGGCATCAGCAGCACACGCTATACCTTCGCGGAACCTAATGGCCTCGTCGCAGGCCGCAGCGCAGGAGCTATGGCGCACACTCGAAGCGGCACTGCACGCATCGGCGACGCCCGACGCGCCACACCCGCTGCTTCCCCCGCTGCGCGCCCTGCACGCCGCGCGCCAGCGCCTCGGGGACATTCTCGACCCGCACGCCGCGGCGCTCGCCGACGCGCTGCAGCGGCTGTCCAATGACGCCGCCGCCGCGGCCGAGGGCTGGCCTTTGGCGCTCGAGCTGCTGTCTCGATGGTGCGCCGCGCCGCCCGTGGCGCGCCTGGCCGGTCCCTCCGGGCCTCAAGGCACTCAGGCTGCGGCGCAGCGCCAGGAAGTGCTCGCGGCAGCCACCGGCGAGGTCCTGCGATCGCTGGTTCGACGGCGGTGCCCGCCGGCCGCTGTCGGTCCAAGCGTCGCCTTCCTGGGCGCCGCCGCGGCTGCCTCTGGTGAGCCGCGGCGATGAGGGGCGCGACGCGGCGGCCTTGCAGCACGGGTTTTTGTAGCAGCATGCCCGTACCGTTGTGTTGTGGTCGAAACAGCTGCTCTTGCTGGTGTACAATAGCCATTTCGTCTGTCACCAGTGCGCCTGGCCGCCCCTGCCTGATGCAGGCAGCGGCGGCGCCGCGCTGGTGGCAGAGGCGTCGAAGGCGGCCGCCGGCGCGCTGGTCGGCCTGGGGCCGCGGCTGCTGGACGCCGCCGTGCTGCCCACCGTCCTGGCCGGCGCCGCGCAGCTGATGGAGGTGGCGGAGGTGGGCCGCTTTGCTGCCGCATCTTCTCTTGCTCCCGTCACTGTCTCCCCCGCCCCCGGCAAGACATGCTGGGGCTGGGCCGGTCCCTTGATTCTTGGCAGGTATACTGCCTGCACTAGGCACACCCCAACACCCCATGTTGGCAGCCTCACGGCAGTTCTTTTCCTTTTGAAATCGTGGGCCACTCTGCATTCTTTGCGCACCTGATGCAGTTGCAAGACGCGCCGGCCGCCGGCGCTGCGGCAGCCGCCGGCGCCGACGGCGGCGGCTGGCTCCTGGCGGTGCTGATCCAGGAAGCCGCCGCGCAGCTGCAGCCCCGCCTGGCGGCGGCCGCCGCAACGGCCGGGGCCGCACGGCCGCCC